TCAAAAAATATTGTTCAGAGGAAATAAGAACAGAACACCAAAGTGTATTACGTGTTAATTATAAAATAATATTACAAGTTTCATAAGGAAAATGTAGAAGTTGTATCTTAAAAATTATCGAGTTAATCAAGATATCGTTGATGTATATCTGCTATTTATAATTAATAGCACTCTCAACACTAGCACGGTCTGTGCCAGTCTGCTATTTCGTAAAGAATTTAAAGATTAGACTTTGGCTAACTTGCCTGTGCTTATAATGGAATTGTTTACAAAAGAAAAGAAGAAAAAATGTTGGATTAATACAGAAAGGATCAAAAACGGTGGTCAGAACAGGATAAAATTCAATTTGATCAAACGCTTTCCAGAAATCAAACAGATAATCTAGCAACTCTTCCGTTTTACTTACTTTCACATTAAAAGTAATTCCTGTCATACAGGAAGGCTTAACAGCCAACTACCCATTCAGTGTCTCGGACAAGGGGTCAAACAATATTACAATAAATTCTTCGTACCATTATCAATTAAAAAGACATAGGCTGTGCTGGGATTCGAACCCAGAACCGCTAGCGTCCGACATCCCTATCCACTCGGCCACTACTTTCACTTAAACAAAATCAAATAATTTTTATTAATCACGAACAAGAATTTACAACTAAAACAACGATTATTGAATCCAATATTAAACAGCATAGTAAACACATGAAAATTTAAAAAGATCGTTCATTAATATTTATTTATATTATCTTAACAGCACAATAACACATTTAACCCAATACAGTGGTAGCGTGAATACTCAAAACAAGTTACACTTTGTCTTGCATCACAAAATTTATGTTTTGTAACTCTAACTTTTAGTTTTAATGACTACAGACTTTCAAAAATTATGTAATTATAAACATGAGATGATATTTACTGCTTTGATTGTCTGTTCTGTTTGATTTTGACTATTTTTCTAATAATTGACTTTTTGTGTAGTTCAAAAAAGTTATATAAATTTATTCCCACTTTATCATCATCAGCCATTTAACAGAAAAAGAGCCAGCTTTAACAAAAATCTAGTTATGTTTTCAATGTTTATCAAACATCAGGTACAAGGCCAATTTGAAAAGAAAACACTCAGTTACTTCAGCAGTTTTTCTTTGTTTTTATTCACCTTTCCCATGATTTCTAACATAAAATAATAATAACATTTTTATCTCAACCGAAACCTTAATTAATTGAAAAGAATTTATTTGGTCAAGCGGACCACGAAGCTTAATAAATTTAATAAGCAAACTGAAGTATACTTCACCAAAGCTCTCTGTGGACATTTCAACTGTCGCCGAGAATCAAATAGATTACACGACATTTGAAAAATGGCAAAAAGGAGGGAAAATTCAAAAGGGAGGGTTGAGTTGGGAAGTTAGTGTCCGAGTGGATCGAAGTCACGACAGCTCAAGTGGTAGAGCAGCGGCGTATTCAGCCGAAGGTCGTGGGTTCGAATCCCGCTTGTGACACTCACTTTTTTATCTCAACCAAAAACCTTAATTAATTGAAAAGAACTTATTTAGTAATCAAGCGGACCACGAAACCTAATAAATATAAAATAATAAGGGGATAATCTGGCTGCACTTTATTTCTTTGAAAAAAGAGGTTGCTACTTTGTTTTTTAGAGAATGAAAATTTTCTACATAACAACATGATTTGAGATTTCTTCTCTGGGGGTGCAATATTTTAGTGTTAGGTGCGTGATCTCACTTCACCCTGATTATAACCGTATCCAAGCATAGAAGATGATGAACTTTTAAAACGCGTCTCAATGACAAAAATTGATAATAGAAACGACATCGATATAGAAAACAATGACAGTTTCATCACCAACAAGTCCTCAAAAACATATCTTTATATAGAAAATAAAACGAAAGGAATGTAGAGATATATTTATAATATTGTGAAAAATTGACAGAAAATGATTTCTTTTAAATTTTCCAGTGAGGATAGGTAAACCAAACTGATCGGAAACGACTAACAACATTCTGGTCTATCTTCGATGTGATCTGTCAGACGCATATTTGCTTTTCACTGTATTCAGTCGTTGGTCAGGAATATAAATAGGACAGGAAAAAACATACCTGTGAAGATGGCGGAAGAGTGTGACATACCAAAATAGAGGATGGACTTACCGTGGTGATCCGAAACGACGGACATATTACAAAAAATCATTGGTTTAGCTTAGATTAGGTCTTTATAAATCTGCACTGTTGGTTTTAAAAGATAATAATTATTTATAATCCTAATACGAGAACAATTCTTTAATTTTCAAATAATCTGCTGGATTCGAATAGGACAATTATAACTCGTTTCGCTCTAGGGATCACAATAGTTACTATTGGCATAACAATAGTCGAAAAGATAGGGCGACATTTATGGGATATCGTGTTTTCAATTTACCAATTCTTCTTGTTTCATAAACATGAATCTAAACTAGGTTTTTATGAAAAATAAACCAGTATGAAGACTAAACAAGTTTACATATGTAAACGATACGATCGTTTTAAAGCCATTTGTGTGCTCGGGCGATCTACTTAGCGTAATATCAATGATGTCTCGATAATATCTAACAACAGACGTTATATTTTGTTAGAAAAACAGTGGGCCCCTGTTTACAAAAAAAGGTAATAATAAAATAAATATAAAAAACAATCTATCCCCTCAGTATAAGAAATGAACCCTTGCAACCAAAGGTCAAACCGACCCACCTACAATCCTCGATTATAGTAAACCATTGTTATTAATCACCTGTCACGTTCAAGTGGGCGAACTGCTACTAGAAAAAATACTAAACATCACGCATTCAAATCCTGTACAGATGTTATAATGAATTAATGATGGCAGGAAAGGCCCATTAGTTTTATAGGATTTTTTATGGGATGCTTATGGGTTAAGCATTTAGGATAACGGCGGTAATGATTTTTAGGCGTAAATTATTTTCGATTTGTAGGTACTGATGAATTCGCAACTTCCTCGCATATGTCAATGCCACCGCGTATTCATGCAATTCCACGCCCATTCTTTTAGATGCGAGTCTATAGCACAAAACGGCAATTTAAAAGGACGATGATTGGGATTTTTTAAAGGAAATGTGCAAAAAAAAAAAACAAAACAAAAAAAACAACAGTTATTTCGCCAATTTGAATCTTGTCTTCTCAATAAATTCTTAAATTAAATTTAAAATTCTATCGAATATCAAACTAAATCAAATTAAAGCTGAACAATAATATGATAAATAAACAAACGGGAAAAGTTTTTAAATGAGATGCTTTTTCACATTATATTTATTCATAAATAAATAATCGGGCCTTATCTGCGGCTCAGTATTGTTTCGTGTTTAAATCGTCTTTATTGTATTCATTGGATCTACATAAAAATTTAATGATGGACCACCACAAAGAAAAAGATTAGGCTGAGACAGATAATTCGACAACTGACAAGATACATATATCTTGGTATTTTATACACTCAAAGACAAAAAAACAAAATAATTTAACAATTACATAAACAACAAAGAACGAGTGTCCGGTTTGTTTTTTTGACTTTGAGTGTATAAAAAAACCAAGATATTTGTATCTTGTCAGTTGTCGAATTATATGTCTCAGCCTAATCTTTTTNAATATATAAATATTATATATATATCGCTGTATAAATTACAACATACTTCTTTTAATGCAAACCAAATTAAAGAGATTAGAAAGTCATAAGTTTTAATAAAAATGATTTAATTATGATGATTTGAAAGAAAAATCAACTAAACACAGAAAAATTTAATAGATTAAAATTTAACTAACAATTTATTACCTAGTTTTACTCTTGCGTATTACTACTCTGGCCTCGCGGAGGGCATTAATTCTCCTAGGCTCCTAGTAAATAAGCGATCGGATTTCTTCTTGTGAAACAGAATCCCATTCTTCAACAAGAGTGGTTTGAAGAAGTTCTGTAGGATTCATATCAGCAGAATATGCTGACCATTGTGTAATCCTTACATCCTCCAAATAATGGGTAACAACTCGAGCAACGTTCGGTTGAAAATTGTCATGTTGTTGAAAATTGGCACGAAGTTGGGAATGGGACCACAGCTTCTAGAGGAACAGAGTCCTTGATTATACCCTCTGCCATAACTGATTGTCTTTGAAAAGTCTGTGACTCGCGCATGGCTCATGGAAGCGTTCTCCACGTCTTCTCATACACGGTCCCGGTCGTCTGTTTGCCACAAACCATACAAGCACTCATCTGTGAAGAGAACAGCCCCCATTGCACAAGTGTCCAAACCTCGTCGCCTTTCTACTCGATGCCTCTTTAGTAGTAGAGAACCTGTCTGCAGACTACATTCTCACGAAGCCTTCTGATGCTGTTTTAGAGCTCACCCTTTCACTACAGCCAGTTTGGAGTGGAACTATCAATGAAGCGGTTTCGTAGTGCGGTAAGGGCAATAAAGCGATCGTCTCTAGCCATCGTACGCGGTTGACCGCTACCTTTTCTTCTATTGTATACATTCCAGTGGTCCTAAACCGCTGTAGACCATCATGAATGGTAAAGCGTGGTACACCCCAGAATTCGTGGGCTGGGCCGGAATTCGAACCCAGGAATGAGACAGCACTTATTTGTTAGAGAAACCCCCCCCCCCCCCTATTGTTGAAGTGGGCAAGCGGGATGCTGATTCGCGATTAGTTGCGCTTTCCAGCAGTAGAGAAGCTTATGTATGTCGTCTATACGCTAGGACTAGGACGTCTATTTTCTTGAAGTCCTCTGACGACTGTTTTTGAGCTCAACCTTACATCACGGATCGTTTGGACCTATCAAGGAAGCTGTTTAGTGACCCATGCTTTAAACCAAAAAATTTTTTTACTCAAATTTATTGTTTTACTAAAAAAAAATTAGAAAGCCAATTAAATCACAGTTAGTAACAGTAACACTCTATAAAGGAAAACAACATGTTATTAATTTTTATATCTATTTGCCTTTAGGAATAGAGATGCTCCATCCACTTCAGGGAGGAATAAGGGTACTTCAGGTCATCCTCCGGCATGCAATACCGCATCGTCCACACTATTCATGAAGGTTGTCAGGGGCCTGGATGTCGCCCTGGTATAGAACCTTGGGTGCACAACGGATCTGTGAGAGGAATAAAACCCCAAAAGACACAGGTAATGGAGCAAAGGACATCAACAAGACCCCGGGCTTGTGTAGGGTTTAATACAAGAATTAGTTGCATACTAATGCCGAAAGTATGTTCCGGCAACTTTGTTACAGCAATCCTAACAGCAAAGACTGCGGCTCACGTTGCTGGACGGCATCGTGAGGTACTACAGGGAACAAAACATGGAATTAGTGATGGGATGTGTTGCAAATGCTCACCATATTATGTGGGGAAGTACGGACATCAAGAACCGAGGTGAGTCCTTATCAGATTACTTAACTGGTGAAGAACTAATGATTGTGAAAAACTAACTAAAGAAACTAATGATTAGGCACGAAGTCTTACACCTGACCATTATTTCCCAAGGGAATGATGAAAACATCTTAAACAGGAATGTATCCAGGGAACCATCAAATTCTGATCATAGGCACATAAGATTTGATTTGAACACTCCCTCTCTCATAGAAACAACGTACAGGACCCCAGGTACACCAATTGGATAAGGGACAAAAGAAAACAGGGTTGAACAAGGAATTGAGAGATTGGGAGGGCCTAGAAATTTCTGTGATGGAGGTCACCAATGCGCTCCTACAACGAAAACTGCACAGAAAAAATAAGGATAAATAAACATAAAACAGTCTGGTGGAACAAATACCTGATGCTTGTCAACAAGAAATTACCTTCACCTTGTTACCATGCTCTATAATTTTTAAAAAACTGTTATGTGAGGTACGCCATTGCGTTTTCTTTTCCTCACCATGTTCTTAGAAGGTACACGTACCTAATTTCAAGTCAAAAGTAAGACAGTCAGGAAAAATCGTGTTGCTGAAATGCCAGTTTTACCAAGTTTCAAGAACTTCTTTGGTTGTTTATCGAAGGGAAAACATCTAGCAATTTTGTACGCTACCACCTGCCGTTAGGAAAGCTCAATCTGTTGGCCTTGAAATCGTGCGACGCCAGGGGGATTCTCAACGTGTTATTTGGTGCAGTACTTCACGTTAATAGCTAACCGGCAGACAAGTCGCGAAGGGATGCCTCATTAAACAGTCGTGCCCGGTTCCGGGAGAATGTGCGGGTGGCCAACCCCCTCGAGCTACCGATCCTCAGCTCAGATTGAGACTGAACTGTTAAAATTGGATTAGGAGAAATTCAAATAGACCTCGACTGACCGGCTTAGAAAATCGCCGAAAACCCTTATCAGATAGCTTGCTATGTAGAGCTTGTCAATGAAATACCGGGAGAGAGTTTTTTTTCTACACGGAAAACAGTAGATGTTTGTGGACGGATATCTACCTGGCAAACCACCATTTGGCTTATTAATGGTTTTATATAATAATGTAATACACAGCAATCAGATCAGAAACATTTTCATATTTTTTTATCGTAATACTATAAGGATAATAAAAAATGTTATGTGAGTCATAATTTGAGGCACCCGCCATCCAGGTCGGAGGGGCGTTAAAGTCCCTGGGTATTTTGCAATAAATAACGCCGGATTCCACAATCTTGTCCACGACTCCTGGCGTTGGACAGGTTTACGAGAGTGGCTTTGAACCGGCTGGAAAAATAAACCCGAAAAATCCTTATCAGATCCCACATTTCAATATACAGCGTTTTCATAGAAGGCGCATATTAAACTTTTGCTGTAGTCATTTTTGAGAAAAGTGACTCGATAAATCACGATTGTTAAAGTGTAGAACATTTTAAAATAAGGTCAATAATTTAAAAAATGTATTTACAATGTAGATTTTATTTAGCATTCAAATAAATCACAAACGACCGAGGAACATAAAAACATTTGAACACAACAATCGCACTGATGATTCAGTTAAATCCGAAGAACATGAACGTGAAGTATTCCAAATCCATTTTAACTTGTGTATTTGATTAAGATATAGAATATGGAAGTAAGAAAGAGAGCATTTAATTAGCATAGTCAACCAAGGCTGTTACAGGCGTTCGACATTCTTTGACGGTGTTTACTCAATCGAAATGAGGGCCGAGGTAAGTAGATTTGATGTGTAAGGGTGTCGGGTTCCTTAAAAGAGTTACTGGCCATTACCATTAGACTATCTTGACGTCCCCCCTTCTGTAGTTAACCGCCTGATTTGCATCCTAGACCCTTGAACCCTACTGAAACGGATTTAAATGGAGCATCTCTCCTACAAGTCCAAGATAGCCCACTATCATCGCCTCCGACTTAACAAACTTGCAAGTAATACTTTTAACATATAAGTTTCATTAAATTTGAATTACGTTCTTAAGGATTTCGGTTTAGATGTAACTGCTTATGTTAGATTCTCTACTTATAAATTCATAATTGACGATACTAGTGTCCGCCTCGAGTCGTTATTTCACCATGAAGCAATGTCGTGCCTGGATTTTTTTCTCAAGTAGGACTTTAACTATTGTCTAACTATCTTGCTGATAAAGTAGAGAAGGGAAAGAAGATAAATATAGAAGGACCTACAAATGACAAGAGAAGGTCAAACACCTGAACGTCAAACATCTGACAAAACTGGTTGGTCTAACCTACTTAAAAAATAAAAACTAAGAGCTCTATAGGGATTTTGTAAAAAAATGCTCACACTTATCTGTTTTGCTAAAATAAAATGAAATACTAAATCGTTTTAGTTTAAGAATGATGATTCATTTTTTAAATTTCTGTATCTGGATTGAACAGGATATATTAAAAGCGGCATCAGGCCGACCACAAAGGTAGTTGTATGAAAAATGTCAGTCCTTGTGTCAAGGAGCAGGCCAGCCTGTCTTCCTTTTGAGAAGTGCAAGACAAAGGATAACAGGATTAATTTTTTTACGCGTTAATATTGAACCGGATCACGCCACCGCCCCCCGCAGGGGCAACGCCAAACACCCGGGAACCGTCTTAAATCATAACTACGACCTCATCGGTCGCCAGCAGGCGTTTCCTCAGTTCCGTCTCGCAAGAGGCGACGGATGGGAATGAAATGCCAACGAAACCAATCTGCGAATGACCCGAGGGCCAATCAGGTCGCTTCAATATCTGCCGTTTTCCCTCGAGAAGCGATCGTGATGCCTAGTAAAGAACGCTTGACCCTAAATGACCCCACGATCCCCTGAGGCTTCCACGACCCACCCTCACACCTGTTACACCAGGGCGAGCTGGGTTTCGCCGTGCAACTGTGCAACACCGAAAAACGAGACATCTAGGCCTATTAGATCGGAATATGGCCAACAATTACGTACATTAAAAAGTGATGTGCCTTAAGTGTCGTTCTCAACATATAGGTACACGTGAAGAAGGCGACAAAAAAATAGTAGATGTTTCCACATAAAAATCCGCTGAGAACGTTGAAACTTGCAAAAATCTTTTTATAATCGTGTATGATATGAAATTTTACAAATCTATTGTCAAAAAATAAAGTGTGATTTGTAATTCTCTATAACAAACCATTCTTCTCTATCCACATTACATCACTCATAGAGCATATAGGAACAAGGAAAAGACTGCAAGTTTATAAATCCAAGTGTATCTATCAAGCCTTAAACAAACATGTTAATAAGTGGTCCGATGTTATACACAATATTCTATTGTAATGTTCATTCTCTAACGTGATGATGACGTGAATGAACGATAAGAAAGAAAACATATTTTTGTTAGATGTTCACAATTTATTTTAACAGTGTAAAAGTGGGATATTCTGAAAAGCGACAAAAGAAAAGAAAAAACGGTAAAAAGAGTGTGGGACAGTATATCAAGGCAGATCGCGGAGAGATGCACGTTTCGAGTAAATATCACCTTTGGAACGTCGGACCGCCGAACAAATTACCCCGCTCTCCTCACAATTGCTACTGGGTTATCGCGGGACCTCTCCCATTGTCTTTTATATCAAACAAATTCTTCCATCAACGCTTAACTTCTCGCCCAGTAATTCTGACTGGACTTGAAGTCCACTTCCTAACTAAATTTTTAATACGAATTGTATAATTATTTAATAAGTTACATGCTAATAGAAAATGGAAAGAACTAAAAAACATGTTAGGATGACGAACAAATGAATATTAGTCTCAGAATGAATGGGGCCTTTTGTAAAAATTACTAGGGAAAATGATAAATTGGCATTAGAAAATAAACCCTCTCCCATACATTTGGATTAATGGACTTGAGCTCATGGGCATTACCAAGCAATCAAACTTAAATTATGAGGTTTCTTCTCGAGGTCTGATGAACCAGTAGTTGTTCAAGTTCCAATTATTCTAGTCTGTTTAACATCGGCTGTTTAGGCGTCAGAGACATTTCAACATTTCACCTCATTTATTGGCCACTACAGAATAAAAAGCATGGGTAGTCCCATTTGTAAATAACAGGTTCAATCTTGAAAGTAAAGTTCTCGAGCTTTGCTGCTCACTTCAATGCTCTTTCCTCCTAATCAATCTGAAATCTTCCAAACTTTAAACGAAAGCTGAATCGACGGGTTTCTCGTCTAAGTTTTAAGGGCTAACAAGGAGGACTAAAGGTTAACGAAGAAGCTGATAGCGTAAACAAGTACAGCAACACCAATAGGGCCAGAACACTTCTGAAAAATTTCAACCTGCCATAAAAAAGGAACAATCGCCAAATGGATTAAGTTAGTACTAAGTTACATTCTTGTAACGACAATCCAGCCTGAGGTTGGGTTAGATAAAAAAAGAAGTTGGCCTCTTTACGACCTGCGCACCACAACTAGTCTACTGTGCATCTCCATTGTTGTCTAGAGCTCCGCATTAAGAACTTTGATCAGTTACCAGACCCAAAGATTTTTCAAGGACTCCCGTGTGTATCCTTCAGGCCAGGGCTTTCCTCTCCCAGTAGTAGGACTCTTCTTAGCCTACATAAGCCTTCGCACCAACAGAGGACATGTTCATGACAGCATTTACACAGGCTTGTTTCTGCTGCACCGAATCTATAATAATGCCCAGTCAGCAATCAACTATTATTCTAGTCCTAACACGTCCTAGATTTCTCGTACTAAGAAGTAAAAGACTTCGGCAAAATAGTCTCTCCTAAACTTACATTAGTTCTGCTGTGAGGAAGTCGGAAGAAGCTGAGGAAGATCGGGCGCAGAAGAAGCCGAAGGCATAATAAGGAAAAGGTTTCTACTTACACGCAAACATCTGTAACTAAGGAGCCATTGTCAGTGCTAAGGACCGTAATAAAAAGTCAGTAGGTAGATAGTTAGGTATAACCTGTACGAGGAGGAGCACAATAGACTTATTTGATGGATCCATTGCACTTCTTACAAATCCATTCTTTTAAGTTACAGATAACTATAAAAAAAGCGCAAATTAAAACAAAAATGAATAGAGTATGTAACATAATTGAAAGGAATTGTTAAAACTGATTAGTTATTACTGATTATTCCTCCTCTCAAGCAGGTTAGTGTTTCGATTATCCTGGTCCAGCTTGAGTGGAGAAAAGTCTCTCATGATTGCAAAGAAATAACATCATAATTACTCGATGGATTGTGATATATAATAAAAAAATCTGTACCGAACTAAGGACTGACAAATAGCTGTTAATCATCTTTCTAGTTGCTTAAAAAAATATCGAATAAAGTCATCGTTGGAAACATATTAATAAACCCGGTTATATGACTGGATAAATAAATTTATCTTTATAATTGGTTAATTAAATCAATATAACTATAGTATTAATGCTATTTTTGTTAATGTCTATTGTAGAGGAAGGGCTTCTTCTGAAAGGGCCTCCGAAGAAAAGAAAGAGCCGATACCTTGTGTTCTGCTCACGAAGTTAATTGAATAAAAGATCCGGACGATGAGATTGATTATTTCATTATAGGTTTTATTTACCGACCGACCGGCGTTCATTGTGAAACGTGGGACTTGGGTAATTTGTTACATGTTATTTCTCGTTGTCGGACGTTGTGCACTGCGTATACATGAATTATGCTCGTCGTGATCTTTCGGTTTTGTCGGCGTGCCTTTGCCACAGAACATTCCCTGCGACATTTCATAAGAAGAGGAGGGTGGAGATAAATGCGATTGATTTTCTACGGCAAAGTTGCGTGATGCTATCAAAATCGTGATGATGATGGTCGTTGTGCATTTAACGCTGTTCTCACATTAAACGTTCGTTATAACTATATAAGTTATTTCATAATACTAGAAATCTTTTTAAATTACCATTTTGATTGTTTTTAATACTGCCGTGGGAGTAGGCTCGGTGTAAAAGTTTGTGTTAAAATTTCGTCAGCCCATGTAGGGTGTAGGGTATTGTATTTTGAGAGCGGAGTTCGTAAACTGTTCTGTGACTGGTCTGTCGGGATTTACTGCGCCTCGTATCTTATGTACAAGATAAACTCAGACCCTTCTGCCATTTCCCG